AAAAAACAAAAAACCCCACTTTTATTAAACTTAGCACATTTGCTTTATTGAAAAGAACAAGAAAATTAACTACAAACTAATGATATTCTGTGGCTAATTTTGTAGTCTAACAGAAGGAAGTATTATGGTTAAAAAATTTAGCTTATATTAATCTTTTAAAATAGTATTTGCCATGTACATTAGAAATCTGATGGCTTGGCCCCTGTAGCTCAAGTGGCTAAAGCACCAGACACATACACCAGAGCTTGCGGGTTCAAATCCAGCCCGGGCCCGCCAAACAACGACAACTACAACCAAGAAAAAAAAAAAAGGCCGGGTGTTGTGGCAAGCGCCTGTAGTCCCAGCTACTTGGGAGGCTGACGCAAGAGAATTGCTTAAGCCCAGGAGATGGAAGTTGCTGTGAGTTGTGATGCCATGGCACTCTACCCAGGTTGACAGCTTGAGACTCTGTCTCAAAAACAAAAAAAAAGAAATCTGATTAATTCATCATATAAACTAAATGATTCTCCCCATTCTATTTTTTATTTTTACCACAATTGTATATCCCCATTTTAAGTGTGATAACTTAGGGGAGTATGATACAGCACTATGCTCCTACCCCTTGTTTAAAGCTATCCTTCTTACAATCCTGAAAGATAAAAGAAATCTGAGACACTTCAGAATTGGATAAGTAATTTGCTTAACCACAGAGTGAACCAAAGCCAGGCTGAGAATTGCTTTACCAGTTTGCCATCTTTTTATGAAAACACGGTATAAGAATGGAAATTAAATATCCTTGATACAGGACAGGTGGCGCCCTAGTCAGCTCAGCAGAGCTGGGCTGGAGGACCCATCCTCTGCCTTGGTGGTGTTGGTGCTGCGGCAGATCAGCCGGGCTGGAGTGTAGGCAAGGGGGGAGCTTCACTCTCTCTACCGAGGCTCCAGTAGCCAAAGGGACTGGACAACTGCTGGGGATGCACCGGCACCTTGGTGTTTCCTTCCCCTTTACACTTCTGACTAAATAGGGAACCCCCATTTCCTATGCCTAGGTCAATTTCATGTAAATTTCCTAGGCCTCAGTTCTGTGAATGGACCGTGTCCATTCATTAGTACATTCATTCACCTTGCCCCAGTGTAAGAGACTGTGTCCATTCATTTCCTGGCCTCATATAGAAGGAACCCATGCACCTATATATACCACTAAACAGAGAAAAACGGAGAGAGCTTTTCTCTCCCGACTAGAAACTTTAGTGTTTTTGTATTCTTTTTCTGTAAATAAATTCTGTCTTGGCCACTAATCTGTGGTCTGTGGATTTATTCTTCAAATCACCGAAACCAAGAACCTAAAATTCTGGTATTATCCTTATAAACAGATGGCTAAAGAGAATAAAGAAAAATAATTCTCTTTTGATGAGAGAAACAAAAATTGATTCATGTAAAACTAGAAAAAGTTGGGAGAAAGAGATAGAAATTGTGGAAAAGAATACTTAATCCTATTTCAGAATAAGGAAAAGGCAACTCACTTTCTAAATCCAAAATTTTTCCAGAGCTCATTGATCTTTATCTGTAATCCTGGCTTGTTCTCGGCATTACGATGATTTCTCTTCTGGACGCCTGCTGGCTTCTTGCTCAGCCCACTGACTCTGGCAGGTACTAGAGGTTTGATCTTGGTTGTAGAAAGAGAATCCATGGAACTAGATTTATATAGCCCAGGAACCTGAGGAATAAATGCCTGTTTTAAGACCATTCTTTTAAAGCAACTACCTTGACTTAATTTCAAACTATGTTTTATACACTGGAACTGAAGAATAACCCATAAGCAATGTGTAAAAATGTGCTATTTATAAATGGCAAAATAGAATTCATCATAATTATTCTAACAGGTAATATGTACACCTGGCATAAAATGTTAAGTGTTACAATAGAACAGGAAGAAAACTCAGGCTCTCTCCCTTCCTCACGGCTTCTCCTTCCAGAGGCTATTGCTGTTGTCAGTTTCCTGTGCGTCCACTGACTCACTCACACATAGAGCTGGAAGTGTGTTACACACTACAGTGCACTTTTTTTCCCTCAATTTATCCACTTGATGATGTATCTTAAGAGATTTTTCCATTTCACAGGCAGAACCGAATTCCATTCTGAATAGGTGATCTGTCCTTTGTATAAGAATGCCATAATTTAGTCAAACCTCTGTTGACATTTAGGTTGTTTCTACCAGAAGGGCTGATTTTTATGCTGTGGGTGGTATGGAACCATTAGTTTTCTTGCTTCTTAGGATAGTAAGAATGAAATATATACAAAAAGGTTTTAAGATTGATTAATTTGGCAGAGGATGTATAGAAAAGTTAAAATAAAGGTTCACAAAGAAAGATGAAATTCTCAAGTTGGGTATTGGTAATGGGGAAAAGGGAGAGAGCAAAAAACAAGACCAATAAATGTTAGAATGTGGAGATGGGTTGCAGTTTGGCTGTTTTTCTCTACCTGCTGCAGAAGAATTTAAGCTGGTGGTTATTAAAAAAAAAAAAGACAACCCTAAGATTCTGAAAGTAGGTGACAAAGAATAATATAATTTTATTAAACAGATAAAAACAAAAATGTTCCAAGAAGAAATTATTAGAAGTAAAAGAGATGAGCTGATTTTAGATGTTAAAGATGGATAGCAGGGAGTATTCACTCAGAGAGTCATCAAAACAGAAGTGATGGTTGAAACCCTGACAGTGCAAATTTTTGAGAGCAAGAATTATAATAAAAAGGCGATGCTTGGCTTGGCGCCTGTGGCTCAAGTGGCTAAGGCGCCAGCCACATACACCTAAGGTGGCGGGTT